CGCCCCTTGTGAGCAGCTTTGCAACCCCAGCCCTCCGTTTGCGGCGGCGGCCCCGGGGCCCACGATAAGAGAGCACCGAGAGGCCGAAGCGCGGCGAGAACAGAGAAGCGGGCCACGTTCCCAGCCCCACGCCTCCCGATCGGCCCGGAGGCCCTGCAGTGGGGGCCCGACCACAAGGAACCATAAAAAAAACCCAAACTCGAGACCCCAAGGCGTCCGTCGATTATATGGTGTGGGGACGTCATGCTTCCCACGGCAACGTCATCAAAACCCGGTGCACCCTGGAGGCAAGCGGGGTGTCTCCCGGCATGGGTCTTCACTGCACCACTCCAGAATTCGGGGTGGAACTGGGCGCGAAACTCCATGGCTCCGGCAGCCATGACGCGGGGCGATCGTCGCGGTACACAGGCCGGTTCTCGCGGCCCCATCCAGCCCCCCCTTCTTCGGGGCGCGATCCACTGTCTTAGTTTTTTTGTCCGCAAAGCGGGGGCCCCCCTGCAGGTCCAGAGCCTGTCCATGGGAGCAGCTGCTCATCCCGAATCGCCGCTTGACCGTCCCAGGGAGGGCACAGCGAGGGCTTCCGCCGAGGCCGAAAACGGCGAAAAACGTTATGGTTCAGGAGCTCCGGGCTCCCCCTTCCGTCGGATACCGATACCGCTACTCCCCAGACCTCAGCAAATCCAGCCGTGGCGACGAGGTCTCTCCAGGACGAGCACCGATGCCTCTTCCTTCGCCGATTCGTAGCCAATCCTTTGGGTTGATCGGGTGATCCACTTTCGGAGGTCCGTGCGGATTTCTTGGATCGGCGCTTGACCTCCCTCTCTGGCGCGCGGAGCGCACCAAGGGCGGCGCCAGAGCGACGCCAGGGGGGTCCAGCGCCGATCCAAAAAATCCGCGTGGAGCTCCGAGATTTGTGTCCGTGCCGACAGATTGTAGAATATCGATGCCTCTGCCTCCTCCGACTCGTGGCGAATTCCTGGAAGTACCGGCCCTTTCCCCGAAGCCGATGTTTCGCCACGTGTCGTTGTTTGACGGTCCCGGGGACCGGTGAGGGCCCCTGAAGGCCGAAATGGCCCAAAACCGCCCGTCGTGATCCCTGCTTACGACCCGAACACGCCTTGTGAACGTTTTTGTTACCTGGCGTTGCGATATTGGGCGGAAGGGGGGGGGGAGGGGTAGGGCCCTGGCCCTGGACCTCTGCTTAGCGGCGTCTGTCATTGAGATCTTGCCGGCGCTTGACGCTTCGGCGCTTGTCGGACGATCCGCAGAAATCTGCGGATGGGAGAATTCGGAAGAGTCTGGACGAATCTGGAAGAATCTGGGAAAATTCGGAAGAATCTTGAGGAATCTGGAAGAATCGATCACCACCACCACCACCACCACCATCATCATCATCATCAGCAGCAGCAGCAGCATCATCATCACCATCACCATCACCACCGTCACCACCATCATCATCATCATCATCATCATCATCATCATCATCATCATCATCATCATCATCATCATCATCATCATCATCATCATCATCATCATCATCATCATCATCATCATCATCATCATCATCATCATCATCATCATCATCATCATCATCATCATCATCATCATCATCATCATCATCATCATCATCATCATCATCTCATCCTCATCCTCATCCTCATCCTCACCTTCATCCTCATCCTCATCCTCTCATCATCATCATCATCATCAGCATCATCATCATCATCATCAGCAGCATCATCACCATCATCACCATCATCACCATCACCATCATCATCATCATCATCATCATCAGCAGCAGCGGCAGCAGCAGCAGCAGCATCAGCATCATCATCATCATCATCATCATCATCATCATCATCATCATCAGCATCATCATCATCACGATCATCATCATCATCATCATCATCATCATCATCATCATCATCATCGTCATCAGCATCAGCATCAGCATCATCATCATCATCATCAGCATCAGCACCATCATCATCAGCAGCATCACCATCATCACCACCACCATCATCATAATCATCAGAATAAGCATCATCATCAGCATCAGCATCATCAGCAGCAGCAGCATCATCATCATCATCAGCATCATCCCCACTCCTCGTCCTCCTCCTTCTCCTCCTCCTCCTCCTCCTCGTCCTTCTCTTTCTTCATTGACGGCTCCTGTCAGACACACCCTGTTCGAGAGCTTTCCCGTGCCGCGTGGGCTGTTTCCATGAATTCGGATGGCGGGGAGTGCCTTGGAGAGGTGCGTGGCCCAGTCTGGGCCCATCTCCCCCAAACTCCACAGGCCGCGGAATTCTCGGCCCGTTGTGTTGTTTCCCAGTTTGTGCTGTTCCCCTCTACGTTGTACTCTGATTGTGCGAATGTTGTCCACCAGAATCTGCTCCTTGTGTCAGACAGGTACTTAAGGAAACGGGCGTACTCGGGCATGGTCCTACAAGCTAACACTTTTGAGCAGCCGCTAATTAAAGACATTATCAAGGTGAAAGCCCCCCTTGGCGTGAATGAAGCAAGCATTTCGGCTGACGAGCGTTTCCGTCGTAAAGGCAATTCTGACGCCGACGCTGGGGCGAAGCACGGGCTTCAGCTCCACTCGTCGGACGCGGGAGGGATGAGAGACGTCTCTGATCTCGTGGACTGTGCTCGTGCGTTCTGCATCCTAGCAGCGAACTTGCTGCCGCTGTGGCTGAAGTTGTCGTTAGAGGTTCCATACTCCCCGCCTGTGCAGAGTGCCTCTGCTGCCCATCAGGGGCCTCACAGGTGGGAGAGATGGTCTGGGATCTGGAGGTGCGCTGTGTGCCGTCGTGGCAGGCGGTCGAGTGAAGCGCCACCTCCAGGTCACTGCGAAAATCTCTCTAAGCTACATGCTGCTCGCCAACATCAATTCGACCATCGCACGGTGGCGTTCCCGTGCTCGGACGGTTCT